TTTGATAATGATGCTATATCACATGTTATGTTACTGTTAGCCAATTAGGACTCGCTGAGGTGAACATGCTGACTTCTCTAAGATATAAGTGCATGACCCTCTTTTCCATACGCTCAAAGTACTAATAACACAATTTTTTCTTTCACAAGCTTTGGATATTTAGTTGTATTGGAGTTTACTGTAAGGAATATTAATGGGACTAATAGAACATAAAAAGTGATGATATGGGGTGTGTTTGAATGTGTTTTTGTTTTTTTGTTTTTAAAATTATTTTATAAAACAACTTATAAAAGCTGTTTTTGTAGAAAAAAGATGAAAACAAATCTATTTGATTATAATTACTACAATACCATTAACAAAATGTTGTTCTCCATGTTTCTGTCACTTTTAAACATAAGAGTAGAAAAAGAGAATAAAAACAAATAAGAAGTGTTCTCTATTTTTTGTTTTTAAAACTAAAAAACAGATGTTTTTAGAACAACAAATACAGAAAACTCATGCCAAATAAGTTTTTTAATTTTTTTGTTTTTAAAATTAAAAAACTATTCTGCAAAACAGAAATCAATCAGAGCCATGGTTACTTAATTTGTGTTTTAGAAGAAAAATTTTCAACCAGACTATTTGAAGTGAGATGCAGTTTCATCATTAACAGCTTATGCACAAGTTGTGTAATATTGTATTGCTCTTATTGAGTGATTTGCTTACCTCTTTCCTCTCCTTTTGGCATATCTATGCATCATTGTGTTTTGAGGAGAGAGAGAGAGAGAAACAGGCACCAGACATGCTCATAAAATTGAGTGAAATTAGTCAATGCTTTTTTTTTTTTTGGATAGTATTAGTCAATGCTTTTAAAATGATGGAAATATTTTTATTGGGTATAATGTAACGTACATTAGTGTAGTTGGCAAGACAACACTTTCTGTAATAGTGAATGAAAGATGATAACGTGGATTAATGTACATAAGTTAGAATCTGAACAACAATACAAGATGAAGTCTCCATAAACTTTCTAAATTTTCTTTTCATGTTCAAATGAGTTCGTAGGATTTTCTCTTGTCCACAATCTTTAAAAAAGGCTCCCTTTTCTTTTATTGAATTTTATTTCCTTATGGTCAAGAAAATTGTTGATAATGGGTGGACAAATGGAGGAGATGATAATCTAGAAAGAGCAAAGTGGGGGCGGTGAGAATCAAACCTAGGACATAAGGCTCTGATATCATGTAAAGAATTAATTCAATCCAAAAACTTAAGCTGTTGGATGAGGCTACGTACATTAATAATTTTATATATCTCAAAAGATAAAGTGATAAAGAATTTGTATACGAGTAATTTTTAGTTAAGCAACGGTTACTATGTGCACCTTATTTAACATTGAACAAATGCTAAGTTATGGGGTCCATAGATGTTCCGATGGATAACATAGATTCGTTTCAATATGGGATTCTTTTGTTAGTAGATAACCTATACTCATATTGTAAATTTTTGTTATAGGTTAGTGATTTGTTCTAATCATAGATTAACGAGTGTTTTTCCTCACTCTAAATTTTGGTTTTAAAAAAAGGAATGAGCAATCATTTTTTTAAATTATTATGTTAAAATGTTATTGGATAAAATGATTTTATATTGGCATCTAATAACAGTGGCAATTCCCAATAGTTTCAGCAACCATGACTCTAAATCAATTATATATAATAAAAAGTTTGGCATAAGTGGGTTCAAGTTGAAAAGATATCAACCCGCCAGACATGATTGGGTCGAACCTTACAATCCATAACCGACTCCCCTTTTTTTTTAAATGAAAATAATCAGGTCAACCTATATATATTAACATTTTTTTATCCGTCTTATGTTTACATTTGAAAAGATATTTTGCTACAGAAATTTGAAAAATTAAAGAACAAAAATACCTAAATTAATAACTTTTTTGTTTGAAAAGAAAAATTAAACGAGGAGTTGTGTACATGGCCTACTAATAGAAGATTTGTAGCAAAAATCAAGCCCATAGCTTTTTGTCGATGCACCGTTATATATCACCTTCATCTACTATTATTGTCACCACCTTGAGTTTCATCTAAAATAGGAAGGGTATATATTTTAATTTAGTAAATATCTAAGATCGTTCATACAGTTGTGCTGCAAATAATGAAATAAAAATTTATCTAACTTTTTGTTTTATTAAACTTTACGTTATCCTATTATTTAATCTAGTAATGATATTTGAACAAACCACAACAAATTGGACCTAATTACATACAGTTAAGTGTGGTTCAAGTTGAAATATTATAATGTCAAGGTTAAATGTTTATGGGATTGTAGGCACTCAAGCGGAATTGTATCTTGGGATGATTTTTGAATGTCTTAAGTTGTTGATTTGATTGGGTTGATACTTGTAAGATGCTGCGATGTTCAAGTTCGTATTTAAATAAATGAGCTTAAATAATAGGAGAAGATTATCTTATTCAGATCTTTTGTCTCTCTATTTATAATTTGCTGCAAAACTTGCTTGTGGGCTTAGCTTGACTACCTTTGTGTGACACTTTAATTAATATGCCTTCTAATTGGTTCATTTGAATGGTCTTCATAGTTCATAATCTACTTCCCTACGTAGGATGTCTTTTGGTGAGTTATATTACTGAGGTTTAGTTGAAAGCTTGTTTATGTCATTCAGTCGTTGGAGCGCATCTTGGGTACTACGGTAACACCAAAATCTGGGTGTGACATCGACTTTACACTATGTACTACGTAGTACATAGTGTAAAGTATAAAAAATATTTTTTTCTCTCCAGGACAATTGCAACTGAAGTGGAGCACTCCTATTTGCCGAATGTATCTACTCCCGTAGTATATTAGATTTTTCACAGTCGTTGGCTGTATGAGGTGGTGATTAGCTCCAAGCTGTTGTGTAATGTACAAGATAACATGTACGCGCACCCTACACATTTCTATCTAATTAAGAATTATTTTGTGTTTGATTCATGATGGGCTTTTGCCTTACTTCAATGGGCTTCTATTGTACTTTGTGGTCCATATTCTTGGCCCAGATCAATATTTTTTTGTGAAATTATAATTAAAGTTGTAAGAAAAAAATAATGCTATTTTTTTTCATTTGCTTCGGAACTTCATAATTAACGTCTAGAATCGTATATAAATGTGGCTAAACTTTAATGCATTAATCAGATTCACTGACCAATGCAACCTACTAAGACTATGTCGGTTCAGCTGTTCAGAAAATGAAGCCCAATTAGTGGTGCTAGATGCGAAAATAGATATTCGATGAGAGGAAGAATCAGAGTTGCACATTGTGACAAGCAAAGAACATCTCTACAATAGTGGGTTGACTAAATCTAAGGGAAGTTATACACATTCGGGGTACCAAGCGTCCATCAAACATTTGGCATTTTCTGAACCAACATTGTTCAATAAGCTCCTAACGGTGCTGAATGAAGCAACCCAACACTCTCTTGCCTTGGTAGTACATGCAGTCATGTAAATTTTAGGTGACGTGTGCTATAAGATTGTTTCTTCTCTTTGCTCTATAAGAACAATGTCTTGACCTCATATATTAGCAATGGTTGTGTTAATTAGTAATTCAAATACCATGGGCGAAAAACAGGGAGATATTTTCAAGATCTGGACTCCATTATTTTCTACTCTTTTACATTTTGCATTTAGATAAAGACCAGCCCACAAGTTAACATTTTCAAAATTTCATCTCTTTTACATATATAGAAATCTTGGATGGGTTATAAATTAATTTGGTAGGAACACATTCCAGGAATATGATTCTTATTAAAATGAATATATTCTCAATAGAGTAAAGTCATCAAATAGACCTCACGACAATAGGCAAAATCAATAGATTAAAATATTATATGCACAATATATAAATATTCAGCACTTAATATCCATGTCTCTTCCAAATATTTTATTAGGAACCAAAATATGGGATATAAATCTCAACTTCAACCCACCCCTCCCCTCCAAAACACAGAGAAAGAAACCGGGTATTAAAATAAGGAATATGGAGAAGATAAGGGAAAATCAGCGTATTAAAAACACAGGGTTACAAAAAATAAAAAACAATAAATGCAATTAAATATATCGTTTTGAATAGTGGGGAGGTGCAAGTGATGGAGCTGAGCTCAAAAACAATAACGGTTGGAGATTCTGACCTTTGATTTGTGTGAGCTTAGAAGAATGACAATTTAAAGCATTGTTTAGATGTTTCAGTTTTTGGTTTGCCATATCTGGTACAGTGGAACTCCCCGCAGGCCTAGAGATCCTCAAAACAACCTTAAATCTTAGCCGTCCAAATGAACACCGAAATGTTCTCACCCTAGTACACGTGCTTCCTATAATTCCTTGCCCCCTTTTCGTTTTTGTTTTTATTTTTATTTTTTTATATTTTTTTTCACAACCTTTTAATCTATTTTGATCCATGCATGGAATTCCCCTCCAACTATAACACCACCAACAAGAGAGAACCAAAGAGATATAGAGAGAGAAAGAGAGAAAGTCATGGTTAGTTCTGGTTGTTCTTCAGGGCCTGTTCAACGCCACCATTAGTAGCAACCCATCTCTTCAAAATTTGATTTTTCCATTGCACACACCATTAAATTTGTTTGCTTGGGGAAACGGAAATTAAGGGGGTCTCTTTTGTGGGTCTCTGATCTTTGTACTTAATAGAACTGTCACATCTGAACGCTTTGATTCTCTTCTGATCATCATCACCTGGTTAAAAAGCAAGAAGCTTCGTGATCTGTTTTCTGAACTTGATCCGAATTTGTCCCTTAGTTCTCTTTTTTTCTTCTCTCTCTCTCTCTCTCTGTGTGTGTGTGTCTCTTTCTACCCTTAACGCTGTGCCTTCACCGTTTTGGTTTCACACTGGTACATGATCAGGGAATGTGTATAGTCCTTGTAAATTTTGAGGTAAGTGTTATAGTTTGCTGATCTTGTTTTTGTTTTGGTGGGTATATTTGGATCAGATTTCATATCAATCAATGGAGGAGAGGAAGTACGTGTGCAAGTATTGCAGCAAGAGGTTCCCTTGTGGGAAGTCTCTAGGTGGCCACATCAGGACTCATATGAGTGAACATTCAACTCAAGCCAATGAACAGAGAAGTAATGCTGCTATGCTCAAGTTTGATGCTGGGAGAAAGAGGAAGAGAGATTTAGGGTCTGGAGCTGGTGCTAGTGGTGATGATGGTGATGGTGATTGTGGGAACCTCATTTATGGCCTCAGAGAGAACCCCAAGAAAACCACAAGGTTTGTGCACTCCAATGCCACTTTGCAACAGGAGAAGTTCTGCAAAGAATGTGGGAAAGGTTTTCCATCATTGAAAGCTCTCTGTGGTCACATGGCTTGTCACTCAGAAAGGGACAAGGGAAGCAACAGGTTTGAGAACAATTCTGGTTTCAGTGAGAAGCAGAAATTGGTTATGGATAGTCAATCTGATACTGAGACTTCTGCTCCAACTCATCCAAGGAGATCCAAGAGAATGAGGTTCAAGACCCTTGGTAACCATCATCCCCATTCTTCTGTTCCATTGACAAATAATGGTTCTTCTTCTGTGTCTGAGGTTGAGCAGGAACAAGAAGAGGTAGCTAGGTGCTTGATGTTGTTGTCCAAAGATTCTAGCCACAAGGGTCGTTTTGCTTTGGTTACAGAGTCTTCTGATAACAACTCTGTTGTTCTAGAGGCAAAATCACCTTCTGTTGATACAAGGGTTACTATCAAGATTGGTAAGAACTCTGTGTCCAAAGCTTATGAGCTTGTGGAGAAGAAGTTGCATAAGGATATGAAGTTAAAGTCTGCTGAGATTGATTATGCTTCTGATAATTCAGATTCTGGGTATTTCAGATATGGTCCCAAAAAAGAAGACTCGGATGATTCAAATGATGGGTTTTTCATGAATGAAGCTAAGTCTTCAAAAGTGGGAGACATGTCTGGGTTTGAGGATTATGATGTTGAATCGAGGAAGATGCTCAGCAGAGGAAGAAACAGAAAGAATGAATTTAAGAAATTGGTTTTGAAGGATTTGGACTATGATAGAGAAGATGGAGCTACAAGGAAGTTTGATTCAAGGAAGAGATCCAACTATGATTCTCTTGGTCAAAATTTAGTTGGGGTTTCAAGCAGGAAGACAGCAAATGGTTTTACCAATGGTGAAATCTATGAGCATAGAGGAAAAGGGTGGAAGTATGAGTGCTTGACCAGTGAAAGGGATAATATTAATGAATCTGATGATTCAGCATATGAGAGTGATGGAAACAGCACAGATACTGATTCTTATCCTGCTCCAAAGCCTCACAACAGCAAGAATCTCAATGGAAAGAAGTCTAGCAAGGGAAAGAAGAAATTGAAGTCAAAGAATAGCAAGGATCATGAGTGCCCAATCTGCAACAAAATCTTCAGGTCAGGCCAAGCCTTGGGTGGTCACAAAAGATCCCATTTTATTGGAGGTTCTGAAGAAAACACTCTGGTGATTAGACCAGGTGCTCCTGCTGTTCCTTGCCTAATTGATCTCAATCTACCTGCTCCTGTTGATGAATAGGAAAATGGTCATCCTGGGTTTTACATTTACTTCATTTTGATTTTGAAGTATATGCTGTTGAGGTAGCTGAATGTCTGGAACTCTGAAAACTTTTTTTGTTTTTGTTTTGTCTTTTTATCCCATATGATGAAAGCAATGGCATGTACAGACAAGTGGGTAATTGATTTTTGTTCCTAAGGCTTTAGATCCATTATTTGCTAGGAGGTAGTAGTTTCCTTTCATGGTTATGGAGCATGACAACTTACTAGTCTCTCAATTGAAAATTTCACTTCTTCATATATCGAAGTACAACTATACTTCAAGAATTATATTCCTTGGTTGCAAATGTTAGATCACCCTGCTCTGGTTCAATGAATTTTTATTTTATTTTTTGTCGTCTACCAATTCTTCATCCTCCTATGAAAATGTAGAAAACATGGCTTTACTAATTGTTGGTCAATATACCTATTCATAACCATTTACTTCAATAATAGTATTTCATTTTGAAGGGTCATGTTCTCAGTTCCTATTGCAATATGTGACCAAAACTTGCTTTTTTTTAGTTACGTACTGTTCTAAAAAATGATCAGGAACCACCATCTTTAAAGGGTACTGTGAAAATGGTTAAAAAAAAGTCCTTGGAGGTGGGAGTGGCATTCCGAAGGTTAAATAAAGGTAATGGTTTTCTTAAAAGTGAAATAAACAATTTTTATTTTAAACTTAGCTAAAGTACAAAGATTTCTCTTTGCCAAAGTATAGTTCCTTTAACATATAACTGAGCACTTGGTCAAACCCAATATGCCCGTGATATGTGCGGCGTCTAGGAACGTGAAGTTTCAGAGGCTGCTTAGTTACCTCACCATTTTTTAATTTTTAATTTTTAATTTTTGTTTTAAGTAGCCCTATTCCTTTGCCATTGTAAAAGAGCAAGTGGTTGTTGAATTATTCTTTATGTTGAAGATTTGACGAGGGATAATTAGTGTGTAGAACTATGAGGAAACAAACTTCTTTATTATTCAAGATAACATTTGTGGGTTGAGGTGGTTGTAAGGTCGCCTACTAGTTAAGGTATCAAAGCTTATAATTGCTCCATATGTACCTTTCTAACACATAGTTCTTAATAGCATGAGAATTTGTATGCCTTTTTCTTCTGCATGCCACTTCCTTTATATTTTGTTGCCTATATATTCAATTCTTTCACTCCATGGGGCGTATGAGAGGACCACTTGGATTTTATTATCTCTTGGTCGCATGTGGGCTCAATCAGGTAGAATCCAGAGGCACCAGAGAAGAATCAAATCCGTATATCAACTGAATTATATGCTCATATGGGATGTGGAAAATCATTGCAAGTGAAATAACAACATAAGGAGTGCCTTAATTTGTGCAAATAGATTGATGAGTAATTAAGAGACGGCTAGAATTTTTTTTGTATGCTCTTACTCCTTAACTGAGATATTCAATTAAATGATGAGAAAAAAGGGAATAAATATGAAAGAAATTTCATCTGGGTCTTTCATTTTTTTTTTTTTTTTTTGGTCATATACACATTTCTCTTATTTTAAGTATAGTTTGAAATGAAAAAAAAAATGGGAGAAGAAAAAAGTAGTCCCAGACTTATGATATATTTCAATAAGTTGGTCATAAGTGGTTCAGAATCATTATGCTTAGTGAATAAGGACAGGTGTTGTATCTATTACTCAAATATACAAAAAAAAAAGAAGAAGTAAATGCTAAACAGTGAACTTTTCTGACTTTTTCTTGCTAAAACAAAAATGTGAATGGTGATTGTTGAGATTGTTCTAGCCGGCCCTTTCTAGAGGGAATCACAAATCACAAAGCCATTTTGCGTTGTCAAGTAATTGGCTCAAGTTATCGACAATGCAGTTTGGATTTGTGATCATAAGAACTGATTATTCCTCTTATTGGAACATTTTTGGGTGCTGATATAAGGTGAGTGGAGCATGTGTGAGTACCCCATTTGTAGAAAAAAGCATTACCTCAGTGTTATTGTCTCATTGAAGAAAAAGTCACGGGGATATTCTTGTTTTTCAGGATGCAGATAAGGTAGTAGTTTACAAGGAATGCGTTGTTTTTTTCCATTTTTATTATTTCTCTTTCATCTGCAGTGTCAACTTTTCCAACAAGTCGCGGTCTCTATGTTAATTGTGGAAAGAGGACAATATTGTCCTTCTCGTATGAAACTGCCTGGTCCCGGATTTGTGTAAAATGCGATTACATTTTCTATTTTCTTAGGGGTGTAAAAAATGTAAATGAGCCAAACAACTTGTTAAGGGCTTATAGTTTGGTTGTCTTTGGCGTGGTTTGGCTTGACTTGTTTTAAAAATAGCATAGACTTGAACTTATTAAAATATTTTTTTAGAAATTAGGACATAAGCTGATTTTAGCAAACTTGACTTCCAAGTTCGGCTTGTATTTTTTATTAAATAATATTTTATTTTTAATAAATAATATTTTTAAATATATTAATATATTATTATTTTTTAATAAAACAATATCTAGTTGTTTTTAAAAAATAATATTTTATGATTTTTTATTTTTTCGCAATCTTCTTTGCAAACACATATTTTCTTAACCTTAAATTTTTTTGCTGTCACCGTTCTTTACCCTTCCTCTTATACTCTTTTGTCATTTTCTCAACTTCTCATCTACAATCATCATCAACTTTCAAGATTTTCGCAACTCGTAATAAATTATCATTTTTTGTACTTTTAGCTTTTTTTTTATCTCATTGACAAAATTGTTTTTTCCCAAATTTTCTATTAAAAGAAAATAACGTATTATTTTACTTACCGTTGTTGCATATTTTACGTAGTGCAATATGTCATTTTTTAAGGCTTGACAAGTCAGACCAAGTCTTGTATTTTTTTTAAAAATAAGACAAGTCAAACTTAAAAAATTTATACAAGCCTAACTCATTTAGGCTAAAACCTGGCTTGATCTGTCTCATTTCCACCGTTAGTTGTAGTCAGTGGCGAAGCCACCATAGCGTAGGTGTGGTCTCGGCTCGGGCTAAATTTTAACAAATTATACTTATTATATATAATTATATAATTAATTATAATTTGGCCCGGACTACAATTTGTAATTTGACTCTGTGTAAGACTTAGAATATTTTTGATGAAAGATTTGGGTAAGTTGTATTAGGTGTCTAATTTTAACTTGTATAAAATAAATAAATTATTTTTAGTAAAATTAAAAAAAATTAATAAAATTATAACTTTTCTCAGTGTGCTTACTCAGGTGTTCTGTATTTAATATAATTTAAATATATTATAAAATAAACTAACTAAAATTAAAAAAAATAAATACACATAATTTTTTGGCTCGGGCTCAAATTGAAGCTCAGCACCGCCACTGATTGTAATAGATAGTTTTTTTATCTAGACTTAAAAAAATAATACTTACGTGACATTAACTATACCACAGAAGTAGCATAAATAGTGTGTTAAGGAAATTGCTTTTGTTTTCATTAATATCACGTGATCACTGAAAATATTTTTGTAAAATGCACCTTTGATAATGTGATAATATCATGGAGATAGCAGGGAAAGAAAGTATTAGGGAAGTTTAATTAATAAAGGAGCAATTATCACTTATTTTTAAATTAAATATTATTAATCTTTAATCTTATTCCATGCAAACAATTTTTTTAAGAGGAATTAGAAAAATAAAAAAAATCATCGCGACCAGGAAATTCTGGTGAGCCACATGATGAACTTTATCTGTTAACCTAAATTGTGCATGTGGGCCTTAAGATATCCATTGAAAAATGGGCTCAAAATATGGATATGGATGGTCAAGTTTTGGAATTTAATGTGTCTTTTCATGCAAACATGAGTTTTTGCTTCTTAAATATCCGAACATTATTTTCTGGTCGCCTGGCCATTCAACATTCACAAGTAAGAACTTGATGAAAGCATAAGCAAATATTTACAAACAAATAACTACCTTTATATCCCTCAAACTTGGTGGTTTGTGGCGGTGCTCTTCGTGAGGGGACATTGACCCTTTTGCTACATTTTTGAATAGTATTTATTAGTATGTTACGATCCAATAATTTTTTTTTTTCAAAATGTCATATCATATTCTCGATACGCCACAAAGTGAGACTGGATTGGACATGTGACAGTGTCTTGCTGACCACAAATCTCGCCCAGCATTGTAGCGAGATTCATGGTCAATGTGACAGACTGCCACATCTGCAAAAAGCTGTCTACGTGGCTAATCTCGCTGGGCTATCCAGCGAGAATTGGTGTACCTTTTTCACGTGTCAGCAACCTAGCCTGTCTCGCTGGGCTGCCCAATAAGAATATGTGTACCTTTTTCACTAGAATTTTTTGTATTAATACATGCTAATAATAACAATAATAAAAAATAAATATTAACCAAATTACTAATTAAAATAATTAACTATCCTGCACACCCATAGTGTTACCAACTCCAATAAATTGGCATGCATCTTTGATAAATTTTAGGGTAGTTAATTATTTTAATTAGTATTTAGGTTAGTATTTATTTTTTATTATTGTTGTTATTAGCATTTGTTAATATAAAAAATATAGGATAGATGACATGTTTAATATTTATTTCATGAATTATTATAAGTAAATTTTAGGGGAGTTAATTATTTTAATTAGAAATTAGGTTAGTAATTATTTATTATTATTAGCATGTATTAATACAAAAAGTCCTTGGACAAAGAGACATTGTTAATATTTATTACATGAATTAGTATAAGTATATTTTAGGATAATTAATTATTTTAATTGGTAATTAGGTTAGTATTTATTTTTTATTATTGTTCTTATTAGCATATATCATTATAAAAAATCCTAGGATAGATGACACGTGGAAAAGGTCCACATATTCTCGCTATACAACCCAGCGAGATAGGCCAGGGTGCTGACACGTGAAAAAGATACACCTATTCTCAATGGGCAGCACAACGAGATTAGTCACGTGAACATCTTTTTGCAGATGTGGCAGTCTGCCACATT